GCATCCACGATGGACTTTTGGTACTAATTCACGTATGTTTTTTAGCATAAAAAGCTGTCTTTTCGTGGGTAATTTTGACTTTGAAAAAAGAGTCAAACTTACAGAGGTATAGACTGGGTACTGCTAAACGTTAGCAATAACTGGTTTTATAAGGGTAAAATTACGTGGAGTCTGGCAGCCTGCAGACTGGCAGACTCGCTTCCATTACAGCTCACTAGACTGAGAGAGAGATCCAATCACGTGATCACATACAACTCTCTCGAACCTCTCTCTCACTCTAGTAAGCTGTAATAGAAGCGAGTCTGCCAGTCTGCAAACTGCCATGAAATATCACCCTAAAATAACACTATCAATGATCCCTGCGCAAGAAACTTTGACTATGATGCTTGAGCTCTGCTAATGGAACAGGTGTTATCTGACAATTTGTTTTGCAAAAAAAAAAAAGTATGAAAAAAGTTATGAAAAGTTGCTGCACAGGAAACTTTGACGATAAGTCAAGCTTACGGCAGATATCAACTGAGAAATGCTGACAATATTATTAGACATCGTTCCTCGCAAAAAAAGTAGGTTATCAAAGACCCTGCGTGGTAAAGCTTGACTTCAAACCACGAGTTAATCTTATTACAGTGTTTGACAATGGTTTTCAAGCAAAGCTCATCTACCACATGAGCTGGGCACTGCTAAAAATCTAATTGACAGTGATTCTTACAAAGATACACGCTATCAAAAATCCCCGCGCACGAAGCCTCTACTTTAAACCACGAGTCGATTTTATTGAGGTGTTTGACAAAGGTTCTGAAGTAAAGCTCATCAATGACATTAGCTGGGCACTGCTAAAAATCTTATTTGATAGTGTTTCTTACAAAAATACACGCTATCAAAGATCCCCGCACGGAAATCTTTGACTTTAAATCACGAGTCAAACTTACAGGGGTGTGAGAAAGCTACTGCTAAAAATCAGTAAAAACTGGTTTCATCAGACTTTGATTCTTGCGGTAAAAAGCTATCTAAGATTTCTCCGTGGGAATCTTTGACTTTAGACCATAAGTCGAGGTTATTAAAGGTATTAACGAGGTATAGCTAAAAATCCGTACTAAGAAGTTTTATCCAATAGTGATTATAGCAAGGCGTCAAAGACCCCTGCAAGAAAAACTTTGCCAACAGCTTTCAAGTTATGCTTAAAGAACAGATTTTATCTGACAACTTTTCCTGCAAAAAAGAAAAAGTATACAAAAAGTTATGAAACGTTGCTGCACAAGAAGCTTATGGCAGATATCACTTGAGAAATGCTGACAATATTATCAGACAGCGTTTCTCACCAATAAAATACGCTATCAAAGATTTCTGCGTGGGAAACCTGGACTTAAAACCACGAGTTGATCTTACTCCAGTGTTTATCGCAAAACTACTAACTATTAAAGATCTTTGCCTGGGAAACTGGCCCTTAAGTAAAGCTCCTCAAACATTACAGCTGGACATTGCTTAAAATATTATTTGACAGTAGATCTAAAGAAACACGTTATCAAAGATTCGCACGCAGGAAACTTTGACTTTAAAACTCGAGTAGATCTTGTCAAAGATATTAGCTAGGTAGTGCTAAAATCTATAAGAACTCGTTTCATTAGACAGTGTTCATCGCAAAGTAATGAGTTATCGATCGAAGATGTTTGTCCAGAAAACTCTGACGTAGGTCTTTNCCAACTTATACAACATTAGGAATAGTTTAATCCACAAAAAATACAGTTAATATAATAAAAACCAAAAGCATCAGCAAAGTATGCCTTTAAATATGATTAATAATACATTTGTTTGTCTAAAAAACCAACAAAATCTTAACAATGTCCTTGTAATGTAAAGATAACATGTTTTAATCAATCTTTTTAAAAAAAGTTGTAAGGATAAAGATATTGTGTCTTGCAAGAGATAATTATTTATTTTAGAGAATCTTGATCTTGTGTATCGAAATCAGGATTCCCACAGAAAAAGGTTCAAGATAACGCAGGATCAACAAATAGTAGGTCTTTGGAACTGGACGAAGAAGTGGCGGTATAGTCGAGATCCAAGCTCACCGTACTTCTAAGCAATAGTGAAAATAAAATAGTTAGAGAAGTTTGAATGTAAAATATATTCTTCGTTAGCAAATGAGTAATCTTATCCATAATAGCATAGATTCCTTAAATAATAATGTTGTTAAATAATCGACATATAATTGTAAAGTAGAGTCAGTTTATCTATTTGAATAAGAATTATTGTGATGACAACTCATATTAATGAACCTGATTGAGTGTTGTTTCGGCTATCTATAGTTAGAAAATTGTAAAGCCAACCATTTGTCGGTTACTTACGATACGCACTTTCTCGTACTAGTGATTTTTTTTATTACCTAGATATAGATCTACAAGACAGTCATGCCAATGAGCTACGTTACTACTAATCAAACTAGAATATGATATATAGCGCCTATTGATAGTCAAAAATGGTAGATGCTTTCGACATAACCCTTTCCGATCATATCCCTGTACATCGAGCGTGCTATATACAATATATATGCTGAATTGCGCCGCCTGTCAAATTAAACTTTTCCAAAATCGGTGACTTAAATATTTATTTTTTCAAAAACCGTCCATTTTCGGGTCTTGCTTTTATAGTAACGTTTGTTCAGAAAGTAATAAACTATAGCATTAAAATTTCAGACCATTTTATTGGGAACCACAATCTCATTGGGTTGGTGCGGGGTCCTTTAGCAGGCATATACTTTTAAATGTCTAGTCTGAGAATATGAGACTTTACAGAACATGTACTTGACTGGTTTAAGCAAATTTAAAAATAAAAGCATCCAGTATTGAAAATGTAATTTGAACAGTGAAAAATACCGTTACAAATACAAGGCCATTTTATTATTTAATAAACTGCCGCACGAACTGAAAGTTTTGAAGAATGTTAAAGGGAAAAGAGACAAAAAAGTTCTGAAAGAGTCGTGTAAAAAATTATTAATATGTTTATAAACAAGATAACTAAATCGAAAAAGCCATCGGTCGTACTTTATTACTTCGTAAAGTTTGTTTGTAAAAAGGAAATCACTGCATTGTCTCTCTTCTAACTTCCTTTTGTTTGTTAGAGATAAGTTTTTTTTTATTAGTTTTAAGATACCCATTCCAGTGTACATGCATACTCAATGCCTCCTTGCTGGAATGTACTTAGTTTTAGTTTCATATTAATATACCATTATAGATTAGTTAAAGAAAAAAATCTTGAAAAGCTGTGAATTCATTATTATATCTATGTATATTATGTGGTAAATAAATAAGAAATAAATAAAAAAAATGATCTATATACAATGTAGTCACTTATTTATCAGCTTTTTTAATTTGGCATTCGATTTATTACTAGCAGTCTTTTTTTTTTGTCCCGGTAATCACGAATTAGCCGTTTGAATTTAGCAACTATGTTAACTCTGACACAAAATTTGATCGTACTTTCGTAATGTAATTTGCAAAGTCCATCAATGGTCCAAATTAAAATTTTTCATCATATAAGAGATAATGTTTTTTAATAATATTTCCCTAACATTTCTTTTGCAAGAAACACTATCAATAATAAGATTAAACGTTTTTACACACAACTCAATCACATGTAGAAAATCATTTGTGAGAATGTTACACTTGCAGTACAGTTAGAACATCTTGATTTTGCAATACTTTTCATAGACCTATAGCCTGCGACATACTTAATTGAAGCACGCAAGGGTGCATAAAATCCATTGGATTCAGGCAAAAAATTAGCAACTTGGCATTGCTTTATCAAAGAGCTTTAGTACTCATTAGTGCTTTTAGAAAAAATTACTTGCAAAACATTTTGTTCATTGACAACTGAGGTCTTAGTCGAGTTAAGATTATTACAGTCATAATTAGTACTGTCACTAGACTTCAGCGAATCGATCATCCTCTTACATCTAGCTTACTTACAGTTCGTTGTTGAAGAGGAAGTAGCGTTTGAAGTTACACTGTACTGCAAGTTTCGTCTCATTTGAAGAAATGTAGGATTACTATTATGACTAGAGCTGGCTTACAATGCTGCAAAAAGATTCTCCAGTGGATCTTGATTGAAACGACTAGTTAGCCGATAAATTTCTTCATTACTTTTTGTATTTTCTGATTGCAAAAAAATACTTTTAGTGCTTTAATAAAATCTTTTAAAATATCCTATCTTTGAATACTTCAATATTTAAGGTTTTTTTTTATCATACAATGATTCTTTTTACGAAATTTGCCGTTGAGATGCCATTACGGTATATTTGTGGATTCTCTAATGCTAATGCTTCTATACTTAAGGCTGCATACAAGGAATTTCTAAAATTTGCGTAGCTAATCTAACATTTATCAAATCAATATGTCAATCGGTTAATTTCAACACAGCTTTGCAGGGTCAATTTCGTTCGCAATTATGTACCTCTTGAATGGGATTCCAAGACATGCGACCGTTGCCAACTTTTATTTCCCGATTTTTTAGAATGTATCAAAGGCATTTTATAAAGTTTGATGCATTATAGTTAAAAAAATTGTTTGGCCAAAAAAGTAGGTACATGGCTTTTTACTGGAAATTCCAAGTTTTTCTACAACTGTACAATTTTTGGACCCTAAATCACAAATCATGAACTTAGCATAAATCCCGTTTCTTTAACATTATTGACAATATCTAGTATGATTATGTTTATTTTCACCCATAAATGCATCATGTTAATGCCCTTGACACTAATGTGTGAGAATATTAACACTCTCGCTGTCTCTATTCAAATTGACTAACACATAACAAAAAAACAAGTGCATGACAAATTTCAAATCGGTAAGAGCAGATACCACAGCTGCCAATGTAAAAAATACAACAAAATGTATAAAAATAGATTATATTATAATTTCAAAATAAAATAGAATAACTTTTCATTGACATCGACAAAAATCCAATACTGATAGAAATTCTATTGTTTTTTTATTCATCCGCAGTGGCTCAAGATTTCCAGGCTGTTTAAACACGGACATGAACGAATTAGCAACAAATCTCGTTCCGTACCCTAAATTACACTACATCTTTTGTAGTGTGAGTCCAGTGGCATTCACAGCTTCACAAACTTCTGTAACAAATATCAAGACGTATGTATGCATATATTTAATTTTCTAAATGTAGTATCTTAAATTTTGAGTACAAATTTTTGAAAATGTTATGTTAAACGAAGCTTTTGACATTTTAGATTTCAAGATGAATTATTCGTTAATGCTTGGTCTCGAAATAATCAGTTAATTAAAATTGATCCTTTGCAAACTGAATCGCTAATTATTGGAACAGCACACATTTATCGAGGTGATGCTTCCATAACTGATATTAGAAAAATCATGAAAAGGTTATTGTTATACTTTCTGTGGAGTTCTGAAAATGAAAATTGAAAATCGTTGAAATGATTGATTAACTAGTTACTATTTAATGTAAATATGTACACTATTCAGACTGTCACGGGTAGATTGTTCTAGGTCATAGGTACAAAGTGATGGACGTTGATAAAGTGCATGATTGGCTGCGTCAGCCATTTCATTGTATAGATATATCATGAGCAATAAAATTTGTACACTATTTTTATGTATGTAGATATGTGTGTATGTTTGTGCAAGTGTGTATGTATATATTTTTCGCGTGTGCATGTATATAAGCATACACGTGTTACGTGTATATTTTGCGCGGGACTTAAATCACCAGATTACCACAAATGTATGATGACTTTCGATATACCGACAAAGTCGCTATTACCTATAAACAGTAAAATGGCTTGAACATGGTAGCCATCTACCACACTGTAAAACTTTGATCCACTGTACTCGTTAGTGGCAAAGGTTAAAGAAGAGAGTAGCAGATCCGGTTGCCCTGCACTGATTTCGCCATGTTCTGATCTTATAGGGGTAAAGACAAAAAGTATTACATGACTTATGCACAAATAAAAGTTTTCTTCAATACATTTTTATTTTCAGTATAAAAAGGTGAAAATACGAAAAAATATGTTTACCGTTTTATTTTACTAAATAAGTTTTGTTGTTTTTAAATACAAATGCCTTTTTCGATAAGGTAATCTATGTCTATTATATGATGGCTTATAATTATAAATAATATGCCACTGTCTCCTTTCACCATTGCTATGCTGATGGCTGATAGATGATTAGAGAGAACATTAAGCAGCCGTTCTGTCTTTATCTTGTTTTCAAGCTACGTGATTGGCTGTCCCCTTCTCAGTGCTATTTTAACTTCGTACTCCTCTTAGCAGTTGGGTGCGTCCGTATTAGCTTCAAGCAGATGCAGAGACTGTGCCGTCTACAGTAGATATTTGCCAAAAGTTCTTGCATGTAAACAAAGGCCTCATAGCACGTGGCTGCTTGTGGTTGGCTCTTTTTCAGTGAGCGTGCCAATTACAAGCAGCTGTGTTTATGTACGTATGATCGAAGCCGTTTGTTTGAATGCAAGAACATCTGTCAAATATCTTCTGCAGATGGCACAGTATATGTATAGACTTAGATCTAAAAGGTATAGAGTGTAGGTGTGTGAGAGTGAGTAAAATATATGTAATACATAAGGACAGAATCAAAATAAAAAGTTGGGTTACTTGGATGGGCACTTTTTGCTGGGTTTTAAATGTGTAACAAAATGTTGAATGATGTAAGCTTGAATAGGGTTCGAACAAGTTTTTTATCATAAAATTCAAGGAGTTTTTCAGGATTTTTCCAGAATTTTCCGTACATTAACTTTACCAAAATTTCAATTTTTTTGATGAAAAATTTTCAACTATGGGATATTAATTAATTCTTACAGTCCAATAATTAAGAGAATATTTGTTAACAACATTGTAACGCAACTGCATTTGCGTAACCTATGCCATGTGTCGAGTAACGACGGCAACAATGTGTTTCTCTTTTTTTTCTCTTGCTCTTAGTTAGATTTTACTAATAGGTGTCTTTGGCCAATTCAGGTTTATACAATAATAGCACAAAGAGACTTCTTCTGCTTGCTTTGGTTGGATGCGCATTAGTTCCAAACTCTATTTTTCCTACCGAGGGCACGACTGATATTTAAAAACGCCCAAGGGTAGAAAATGATAGTTTTCGCACCTTGTGACGCAAATGTCACCAGGGCAAGAACCAGATCTCAGAGACTCCTTGTGAATGTCCTGTTTAGATGCGCACCAGGAGCAAACCCTATTTTTCTTACTGAGGGGGCACTAATCGTCCAAATGTTTTTTAAAAAATGCCCAAAGTAGGAAATAGTGTATAACACACCTGGTAAGCGAAGTTAAGAATATCTTAGGTTTCACGTGAATAAACTTGAATAAACTTATATTAACGTTCAATCTAATGCATTTCTTGACTTCTGAACGTGGTGCGTATACTATTTTTACGAATCCTCTGTCGAGAAAAGGAATTTTCGTCCGGGGTTTCACCGGTTTCTTCTTTCGACGCAGTATAGTATAAACATTTTTTTTTATTTGATACTTTTTGACCTCTGAATGCCATAAGCAAAAGGTATTTGACTTAATTAATTGCTAATTAATTGTTAACAACACTTTTTTAACAAATTGCAAAAAAAATTATTTTGGTTCAAAATTTTCTTATTAAAATTTCTTGACATATTTTCAACAAAAAGTAAGCAGTTATGTATACCTAAGCCCCTCATTTTTCAAAGAAGTAGTTCCTGACATTGAAAAAAAATGATTGTACAATTTTCAATTACACTGAGAAAATTGGTGTTAAAAAAAGTATTGTACCTACACTAAAAATTACTGTATTTCTTAGAAAATCTAAGACATTCTCACTTGATGATGCAAATTATTACATTAAATTACATTTATTGTAATTTTTAATATACTTTAAATAATAATAATGTAGCAGTCATACAAAAATTATTCCACAGCATGATCAAAATTACAATGTCTAACATAGTAAAAATCTTGATAGTATAATTTCACTACACAACATCGTAAATTTTATTGTAATCATTTTAAAATATCTCACAATCTAAAGTAGAATCAACTGTGTCATATATTAAAATTTCTAATTTCACTGCATTGCTATTTAGTTAAGTAAAAATTACTGTGTTCGAAAGTAGTTCTATACAACATTTTTATCGATTGGGTGAGAAAATAGATTACCTACCGCATCTATTTAGTTTTAAATTTGAGGTTGAAAGTTACTAATGTAAATACAACAAAAATATTTTTTTAATTCTAAGGGTTAAAAATTGATCCGTATAAATAATTTTGAATCGACTAATTATGCATGGTCAACACCATGTTTTACAGGAAACCCTTATATTCTTAACTTTATTGTGTGTATCATAAACAGTACACATTCCTAAATGTACTCAGCGGCGTAGCGAGGGTTAGTGGCGCCCGGGGCGGAAGAAACTGTGCCGCCCCTACAAAATCAAAATTTTTAGCCCGACAAGATTAAAAATGAATTATAATAATAATAATAAAATTTTAACAAATTAACTAGTTCAAATTTAGTCTGACTTTGGAGCGCAATTCTTTATTGACATAATTGTAAGAAGAATTCGGTTCAAAAATCAATCGAACTGTTGCTAGTTATTTTGTAGAAATAATTAATACTTGAACAAGGAGAAGACTTTGAAGTTGAAAATTGAAAAAAAAGTATGACACTTTATGACACCAAGTAAAAAGGTTTTTTTATTTATGAGGTCTTTGGTCAAAAATACATAATTTATATATAAATTTTACGGGCTTTCCGGGCAGCAAAATCTGAAATTGCATCTTCAAAATCCACTTCGTTTGCTAAATCGTGCTCGATTGACAATATCGCCAAATTGGTTAATCTCAATGAACTCATAGTAGTTCGTAAGTAGTTCTTAATTAATTTTAATTTAGATAAGCTACGTTCACAGCTGGCAACACTGATTGCCACTGTCAAAAAAATTCTCAACATTATAGCAATATTTGGAACTGAAACGCCTAAACTATATTGTTGTATAAATTGGAGAAGATCAAGCGGTCCCTCAATAATTATTTCTGCTTCTTTATTCGACGCACCCACAAAATTTTGTAACCGTTCTCGTTCACGCTGAAATTCTTCTTTATCGATATCATCTGGTGCTTCCTCCAATTTACAATTATATTCAGAGTTCAGCAGATTCGACGACGCAAGGAAAGAGAATTTTGCGTCAAGATCATAAAGCTGTTTAAATCTCGTTTTAATTTCCTGGATGATCCTGTCTACACACATAAGCATTTCACGCCGCAGTTCTAGATCGTACGATAAACCAGCATCTGCTACTCTATCGCCGTGAATCCTTTTTTTTTGTTGTCCGGTGGGGTACAACCTCAATGCCCAGTTCGTCAAAAATTTATTTGGCAAACTTGCATCCATCATCAACAAGCTTATCCCTATTCTCCACCAAGAAAATCTCTAAAGTCCTCTAGTCTGTAAATACACCTGAGTCTCGTTAACTTCGACTAGCACATCATCCCAGAGTCCAAGATAACATACAAATGAAAAGGATTGCATGGAAGTTAAAAGAAGACCAGCATTGGACCTCGTTTTCAGATTTTCTATCATATTTGTTGAAAGCTGTTCCAGAACATCCAGAATGTTCACATAGCAATTCTTTATTACAATAATTGCGTCATGTCTGGCGCTCCAGCGAGTATCGATCAAACGCTTGACACCTTGCTTTGTGACAGAAGTTAGGACGTTCCAACGATGAGTCGATGACGAAAAAAACACAAAGATGCGCTCTAAGGTACCAAAAAAAGTGACTGAATTAACGGCGGCCGATGTGGCATGTTGTACAGCCAGGTTCAAAGAATGATTTGCGCATGCCACAAATTGCGCCTTCGGATTCACCGCTCTAATGCGTGCTTGAACTCCATTGTATACACCTGCCATAACCGCTGCATTGTCGTACGCTTGTCCTCTGCAGTTTTGTATATCCAGCCCATCGGATTTAATCTTGTCCACGGTCATCTGTGTCAGTTGCTCAGCATTTTTTCCCTTTACTTCTATGAAGTCAACGAAAGACTCTACTATCTCAACTTTGGCTCTGTCAACCTTCACATACCGTTGTACCTGACTGACTTGATCTTCGTGAGACAAATCTGGCGTGATGTCAAAAATTATAGAAAAATATTTTTCTTTTACTTGCTGAATAACTTTACTGCGAACTTGATCTCCTAAAACGTTGATGAATTCGTTTTGTGTCTGAGGTGACAGGTACGAAACTTGAATTTTGTTTCCAAGCTTAATCTTCGTAAGGTGTTCGCATAATAATGAGTCGTACTTTGCCAAAAGCGTTACAAGTTCAAGAAAGTTTCCTCTGTTACCACTTGCAACGCTTTCAGAAAGCGATCCA